TGTGGAGCTGCTCCCAGGTTAACGACTTATTGACTTAGAGTGTGCTGACGACATTGTCCTCATCTGTGACAGCTCCAAACCACGCCAAGCAGCACTAAACATATTAGCACTGGCTTTCAACCGCTTCGGGCTTCGTTTTGTTCCCTCTAAATGTAAAGCTTTCCTCCAAAATTGGCAAGAACCGCCTATTGCGCTGACCCTTGGTGAAGATCAGCTTGAAGTCCTTCAGAACTTAAACTACATAGGCCGTTGTGTCAGGGTCAGTGCAACCGAAGGCTAGGTCAAGAACCGTATAGCAACAGCTAGAGTCCCTTTTACAAACCATGGCGTCGGGGCGACATCACTATCTTCCTGAATGGTAGAGTTTATAGTGCAGCCGTACGTTCCAACCTGCTGTGCGGTTGTGAAACCTGGCCCGTTAGATCGCCAGACGTAAAGGGGATAGTTACATTCGACCACCGTTGCCCCCATAGTTTGGTTCACATCTACTGGGAACATTATGTAAGCAACGAGCGTGTTCGACGCCTTGCTTATTGCACAGGAAAAGGAAATGAACCACTCAGCGCGGTCATTTCACGCACCAGGCTCCGATGGCTCGGCCACGTGTTACGCATACCAGCCCACTAAATCTCACGACGTGCGTTGTTTGCGCGTCCGGGGTGTGGATGGAAGAAGAGGAGAGGAAGCCAAACGATGAATTGCTCAAGAGTAGCGAACCCCATCACTTCGAATTTGGCCACGGTTGGAGCCTCTCGGCTCCCAGGTTGGGTACCGAAAGACGGTGAACACGTTTGGCTGGATACACTTGTCGATATGGCTAGGATCCGGCTTCATTGGCGTATGTATTGGGAGTCTCCTTGTTCCTCCCTCTCCCGCTTTACCTCCTCATCTAACCACGATCTCTACTTTTGGGCACATAATATAATATTTTTTATGACAGTTAACCGGCTGTTAGTTCTCCGAAACGAAGACTATCCGTTTCTGGTGGCTCAGCTGGTGTGCCTATGTTACGTCTTTCTTTCTTTTCCCATGTCTTGCGCCACAATAGTTGTTGTGTTTCTCACCTCCAGAGAACGTGTATAATGATGAATTGGTTGGATCCAGCCACAATATCCTTGTCAATGCTGCTGTTGTTGTTGCTCTATCCTTGTTGCATTACTGTACAGTACGAGGGACGTTCAATAAAGATTTCCCATGACCAACTTCCATAGCACCAAGAACAGACACTAATCCTTTTTCATATAGGTATCACCCAGATTTACACATTTCTCACCTCGTTGTGTGCGGTTAGATAGACCACTTTTGTAGAAGTGCTTAGATTGGGCCAAAAGCTATGATCTAATCTCAGAAATAAGCGTCTCATTATCGGGAAAATGTTTTCCCTTCAAAAATAGATGAATGTCGGAAGGTGTAGGGTCTGCAGATTATGGAAGATGAGGGAGTATTTCATAGCCACAGGGACGCACTTCTGTCTGAGCGAATTCTGGGTTATAAGCAGGAACATTGTCATGCTTAGCATGCCAAACCTCCCATTCTCGATAGCCATCCTTAATTGATGTGGTATTGAAGCATACATGGTTTCGGTAATACTCACACCTTTGGGAACCCAGTCCATCATTACACTGTGCTGGTCCCAGAAGACTGTTGAGCATGACCTTGCTTCTTTAGAAGTGGTGCTTCATATTTCCATTGTTTTGACTGCGGTTTGGTTTCTGGATCTTAATGTTGTACCCATGTCTCATCTTGCGTAATTAGCCTACTGAAAAAATTTATCTCGGTTTTTCTGGCACATGATCAAATGATTCCGAGAACCAGTAACCCGTTCTTACTGTTGGAAAATAGTGGGCGGCAGAGAAACGCTTAGGAATGACACCTTCTGCATGCTCAAACGGTCATGACTAATCTTTTCCAAAGACCTTGCATTAATTATAACATTTTTGTCCATTTGTTGAACGGTTACATGTAGATCCTGTAGAATGGCGGGCTCCACTTGGTGGATATCGTCCTGATCGATAGCAGAAGGGTGCAATCATAATGGAACAAATAAATAACTAAATGGGTATGTTTCCCAACGAGCGGGATATGCTCTCTTTTGAGGAACAATCATTTGCTGTCTACACTGAAATCCTACTGCATTTAAATTGACGATGTCAGATTTCAACAATATCATATGATGGTGATGACACTTTCACTTCATCTATTCTGCATGATGTGTGGCCTCATGCTGAGGTTGGTGTCGCATTCATGATGCTTCTTCACCTTAGTTGGGCCAAACCAACTTAATCTTGATCTTTTTAATCTAGATAACAGTCATTCCACTTTGTTTGGTTTGTTTAATTCTGTTATCCTGCTGCACATGTTATGTTAATTTTTTGCGTGTTTGCTTTCCCTTAAATTCTATGTTGGTTGTTTGACATCGCTGATGTGCCCGCACTTGATGTGAATGTTCACAAGGTACCTACCTGTTTAACATCCTCCATCTCGATTACTGGGTCCTGGAGACGGCTAATTGTTACTGGGGTGGGGGCGGGGTGCAAGGTCCTCGTGACCGTGCTAGACTCAAAGAGTAGTTCCATCCATTGGGTAGCTAGCTACGGTCCAGCCACCTCCTTGTATACGTGAGTGATGGCTATGAGTGATACAGCGCAAACCAGCCATGCGCAATTTTATGCGCAGGCGTCCTGTAGTGGTCCCAGTGAAGTCCGCAGCGACAGGTAAATCCGGAATCGCATGACGACAACAATTTTCACGTGTCCAGTTTCAACCTTGCGCAGTTAATGGAAGTTCGTCATCAGAAATCTTTACGGAACACCCCCAAGTATTTTCACCAGTAGCTCTAAAGTGACAGTAACGGCGATATGGTCAACTCGAGGATAGAACGTTGATTTGATCATCTAGAACCTTGTGATATGATGTGAATGTTTATGCTGATAACCGGTACACTTCTCTTATGGACCATGCGGTCTCGCTTAGTTGAACTAGCCGCTTACCTGTTATTGTAAGTAGCACATGCATGTGAATTGGCTTTCTTTGCAGTTACCTTACTTTTACAGACTGTTTGCTTGCGAGTTTTTGTTTCATAGAACGATCACAGTATCCACATTCCCTGCAAAGCGGATATGGAACGAAAATTGCCAGTTGAATTCGCATTTGCCATTTCCCTGTCGGCGGAATTGTATGTCTTATCAACAAAAGCGCACCTTTCCTCAACCCTTATTGCTCTTCAAATAGCCTGTTCACTGCTATCTACCTACCGTTTGCATCAATCCCAACACGGGACGCCTTCGTTTCCAAATCCTATTTACAGAGCACTACTTTCTTTTCTGAAACTGTAGCCATCGTCTCTGTTCTGATCCATGTGACGGGAACACCTTTACAGTTAAGTGCCTCTTGTGAGCCAATCGGATACTCCTCACACACCAGTTCTAATGGCGCACGCAGTTAGACCGCTTGTCGCCTGGCATGTAGCAAGGACTAGTTTGACTAATAGTGTGGTTTATTTACTCATTCATCCTCTTACTAACTGGAGTAAAACCGATTCTACTGGGGTAACCCTCCCACAAGCAAGTTCTTCACCACAGGCAACTATATTCAGGGATTCGAACCCTACCTCAATTATGCAGTCTGACACCTAGAGCATCGGAGTACAAGTTGAGCTAGTTGCTACTAGACCCTATCAGACGGTCATCACACATCTAGAGTAGTATTACATGGCTACTTCATTCTTCCGTGATGTCAAGGGCGTCACTCTTACGAGTTCGTTCTACGTCATCTAACCCTCTTCTGCTCTCTGCTAAAAGGTATACAGTCCATATTAATTTAATGCCATAAGCTGATTAATGGCCTAAGGATCGGCTACGATGTCTCAAGCATGACACTAACGTGCGAATCAAGGGGGAGATGGAATGGTGCTGTATCACAACTAGGAACAGTCATGTCTCTCATTGCTGTTTCTACGGCTGAGTAATCGTAACCACAGCTTCCTTGAGAACGAGGTCGAGCGTTCTATTCCTACACGGTACTAAGCGAAAACGCACTGATGACAGTTTCAAAAAGATTGAACTGGTTGTGGAGCGCCTTTCCTGACATGATGCACAAGTCGGTCGGTGACCGAAAGTATGAAGTATCTGCCTTGTAATTCAGAGCTCATCGGTTCGAATCCACCTGGTTACTGGCGATCTCACCCAGACGCCACTGGTGATAGTCGTGTGGGGCACAGAAGAGTCGGTATGCGGTGTACCGGTGTATTGCTGAAATCCTTTGCTCTAATTACTATGAATTCCATCTATGCCATCTAAATCCCCTCCAGTACTCCATAGAGCAGTGGAGCTTAGGTATTGCTTGGAATCGCTGAGATCTGCTGAGGTCAAATCACTAAACCATTCCTGTGAACCTTAGAATTAACAATGCATCTTTAGTACCTCATCGGGCAGGCGAATTGTTGTGGGTTTGTATCACACTGCTATGGGACTGTCGATTACCAATCGAGCAGTGATAACAACTGAACCACGTGTATGTTACACCTTCACCGTACTCAACGCTTGATACTCGTGCTCGGTGCCGTTCGAACTAATCTTAGTGTCAGCAGACTATTTTCTCCTGTGGTTGTGTTCTGTAGGAAGAGGGATACTGTGTTTCTTTAACCACTCACAGTGGGGTGTTGGAACCGAGTTTATCTTATTTCGACCATCGTTTGGGCATGTAAATGTGACTCGGATGGTGTTTGCGTTGTACCCTGCAGCGTAGCCCAATCGACCTCATGGGTGCCCGATCCATCACGACACATGAAGGTGCAGATTCGCATAACACAAGTCCGTTGGTATTTATGTCCGAAATCATGTGCTTTCGCGCCGAGATTTTTTGATGCACTATCATTGTGAACGGCAGTTTGTTTGGCAACTATCCCTTGGCTTTTCGTTTTTGGTGCGTCACCAGCTAACACTCAAGGAATTCCTATCTTCCTCGTACTTTTTACTCCCTTTACCTCACTGCACTATTAGATATCGCTCCATCCAGTGGCTGTGCGTTTTCCTTCTGACCTTCCTCGGGATAGCCTTCTTCCTCTTCGGCCACCGCCATTCTTTCTCCGATCATGTGATCCAAATGGGACGACTATTCCCCAGTCCGTTTGCCAACGAAAATGGATCCTATCCCATGGAGCCGATTTTGCTATCGGCTCACGCGGATGCGAAACTTCTCATCTACAATCGGATTCCAAAAACCGGCGGTACCTCTATAGTCCACCTAGTGTATCAACTATACCAGGCTAACAAAGTCGCGGTCGCGTTTTTGAACATCACACATGATCGCCACTCCCTCACCCTATCCAACAGATTGCTGCTAGTGAGAGATTTATCCGCTCGCGACTATTCCAGGCCTCTACTGCTCCACGGGCATTTTCGTTATTTGAACTTTAAACAATGCGGCTCCGTTGTACAGCCCTTATACATAAACATGATACGTGACCCACTGGATAGGCTGGTGTCGTACTATTATTTCCTGCGGTTTGGTGACGATTTCCGACCTTACCTTATTCGGCGAAGAATGTCCAACCTGGTACAACAGTCACAATCATTTGATGAATGTGTTGTCGCCAAGGGCTATGATTGTCATCCCAACAAACTTTGGCTGCAAGTGAGTATTTTTCTGTTCGATGTTTGTGAGCCCGACCATATTTTTTAAGAAAATGTTTCCATGTGTTTCTTGTGAGGCTGTCTAACCTCTTGAGCACTAGCTTTCAGTATACAATGCGTCAAGCTTCTTTGAAATCTCCAGAGCGACCGATCATCGAATGTGACGTCGCGGTACTCCCTTAACGTTTCTTACCGTAGCTCAATGTGAAGTTGACAATCCATTTTTCTTAACCAGAATTCATCTGTACTAGGCTCCTTAACTGCGGATAGCGACCTCCGGTCGGTTATTTTGCTGTGTTGACAAAAGCACTTTGTGTTGGATTTCTTCGTTCATTGGAAGTATTTCGTGGAAAATTAGATACAATTCAGTTTCACTTCTGATTCTGAATTTTCCGACCAGAAATACTTGTGTGTTCATCGATTGGTTTCGACGATCTTGCTATCGCCATTTTCTCCGACAATTGGCCGCCATCTTGTTTTCGGATTATTCACAATGCCGAAGCAATCACCCTATCGTACTTGTTCCAAGATATTTAGAGGGTTGCCTATTCCGGGAGCCCAGAGAGCGATTCCAGAAGACAGATCGAGTTGCAGGGAAACTTTTATTGGTTCAGCAAAAGATTCCCTGTTAGCTAGCTATAAACGAACGACACCGTGTACGCTCTAGCTAGGGGAACGGATCAAGCACAGCACACAGAGCAGTCGCGCGTTGCAACCGAAGCGAGCGCCAAGCAAAAATGGCGATGAGCAAGTAAAACATTCGAACTCAGCAAGCAGTTCAACAAACCACACCGGTTGCCTAAGTGTACAATTATAGAATTTTGGTTAGAATTTTACACAGGCAAACCGGGGAATCTCCAGACTGCTACATAGCCCTCTCCCAGAAGGGACTGTGTAAGCAGTCCTTCGATCTACGTGAGAACTGTCCGTCGCGGGCCAGCCTTCTGCGAGACCAGGTTGTGAAACCCGATGCAGCTGCTGGGGGAGAACCATGCAATCGGACCCTAGCGGGCTCCCACCCGTGTCCTCCCTACGGTGTCGAAACGGTAAAAAAACTGTTTGTGGGGGGGACAGTTAATAAGGTTCACGTAGGCAGTTGAGCAGGAAGTTCGTTCCACTTGCAGTTGACGTGCGGGGATCCAGCGGAAAGTGAAACCGAGGTGCAACCAACCGACGGTGTATATGGAAAGCAAAATGAAAAGCAGCGTAAGTGCATAGCCATACACAAAAGAGTGCAAAGCGAAAAACGTGCAAAGCTGTTTTTGGGTTTTCAAAAGGTTTTGCTCTTTTTTGGCAGTTTCAAAACGTTTTGGTCTTTTTTTGTAGATTTTCAAAAACGTTTAGTAAGAGCAGAAAATTTCTAAGGCACGTTCTATGTAAAATAGTAAGTGCGAACGGAGTCCGAAAAACGAACCTTAGGTTTGAGCTTCCTACCGCGTTGATTGAGAGTAGGGCGGGTAGGAGTGCTGTCGGTTGTGGTTGTCGGTTCTGCTGGAGCGGACTGACTCGTCTGAGGTTGCGGTGCCAGCTGTGATGGCACAGGCTGTGAAGGTGCTTGTTGCACCGGCGAGTCAGACTTGTCGAAGAATGCTGGCTTGAGTCGATCAATGGTGATCGTCTCAGTGGTGTTGCGTCGTGGCTTGTCGATGTCGGGATCAGCTTGTTGGGCAGCAGCCATAGCGGATAGATCAATGTTGGCGCCAGGCGATAAGCTGATCTGTTGAATGCCTGAAAGCGCATCCGCGACGGGATTGAGAGCACCTGAGACATGACGTACGTCTGTCGTAAACTGAGAAACGTAGTCTAGGTGTCTAGTTTCCCGCGGCGAGTACTTGTCTGTTGCGCCATTGATTGCGTAGATCAATGGCTTGTGGTCGGTGAAGACGGTGAAATGTCGACCTTCGAGGTAGTGACGGAAATGTCGGATACCTAGGTAGATAGCTAACAGTTCCCTACCGAAGGTGCTGTAACGCGATTCGGCAGGTTGTAAACGTTTCGAGAAGAAACCTAGAGGTATCCATCGATGGTCGATGAGTTGTTGAAAAACTGCACCGACGGCAGTGTCTGATGCGTCAGTTGTCAGAGAGAGCGATGCAGATGTGCCTAGATGGGCGAGAAGCGCTATGTTGGAGATAGCGTCTTTAAGCTTCTCGAAAGACAATTTAGCGTCGTCTGTAAAGTGAAAAGAGCGTTGTTTACCGCGGAGCAAGTCAGTCATTGGTTGAACAATGCTCGCGCAGTTAGGAATAAAACGTCTATAATAGTTAACCAGGCCAAGAAATCGGCGTAACTGCTTGAAGGAACTGGGAGCAGGATAGTCCTTCAGTGCCTGGATTTTGTCTGGCAGGGCTTCAATACCAGAGGCAGATATGCGGTGGCCAAGAAAGTCGATGGAGCTTTGGCCAAGCTCGCATTTATCGGGGTTGACGGTAACCCCATGTTGCGTCAAGCGTTGGAAGAGTGCGTCGAGGTGATGAAGATGTTCATCGTCAGAAGTGCTGGCGATGAGGATGTCATCTAGATAAGGATAAACGCCTTCGAGTCCTCGCGTTACCTCATGAATGAAACGCTGAAAAGTTTGGGCAGCGTTGCTGAGGCCGAAAGGCATTCTGAGGTACTCGAATAGGCCGAATGGCGTGATGACTGCTGTTTTAGCAATGTCGTCTGGCGCGACAGGTATCTGGTGGTAGGCACGGACTAAGTCGACTTTGCTGAAGATAGACTTGCCAGCTAGAGCTGAGGTCAAGTCGTGCATGTGCGGAATAGGGTATTTATCCGGGACGGTAACTTTGTTAAGTGCCCTGTAGTCACCACAGGGGCGCCAGTCACCGGATTTCTTCGGCACCATGTGTAATGGTGATGCCCATAGACTTTTAGACGGGCGGATGATTCCCAGTTCGAGCATTTGCTCGAATTCCGCCTTAGCAGCTTTGAGCTTGTCCGGGGCTAATCGGCGAGGGCGGGCCGAAACAGGTGGGCCCTTAGTGCAGATGTGATGCGTGACGTTTGACGTCACAGGAGGCAACTCGTTCAGGACGCGAACGAGTTTAGGGTGCTTGTTGAAAAGTTCTAGAAAAGGCTGTGAAGCTTGAGGTAGGATACGAATGGGAGTGATAGCAGCCACGTTGGCGCTAGTCCCGATAACACTGAGCTGTGTCCTAGAGTCGATAAGCTTCTTCCTTTTGGCGTCGACGATGAGGTCGAAGCGTTGAAGAAAGTCTATGCCTATGATGGCGAAAGGCACAGCAGCGATTATGAAAGGCCAGCGAAAGGTTCGCCGGAGGCCTAGGTTGAGCGTTAGCAGCTTTTCGCCGAAAGTTGCGATTGGTGTGCCATTGGCGGCACGCAGCTTGGTCGGCGATGGTGAGACGACCTCATTTGGGCTACGGGGTATAACACTAACTTCGGCACCAGTGTCGACTAGAAACTCGGTGCCGGAAGTTAAATCCCTGACACGGATGAGGCGACTTTGGTGTTGGCCAGTCGCGTCTGTCGCCGTTACGGACCGGCCGCGAAGTTTTCCCTGCTTCTCGGCAAAGGTGCAAGGTTTGACACATTTACGAGCTGCGGTACCAAAACGCTGATGGCACCAACAGCTAGCTTGCCTGTTGCTAGACTGAGAACGTTTGCAGGGCGATTTTGAGCGGCTAGGACGACGACGGGTCATAGTAAGCTGTTGCACCTGGCGACTAAGTGTCGCAACTTGTGCTTGCAGGGCTTCTATAGTTGACTGTAAGCCAGCGATAGAAGTGCCCTGGGACGCGACGGCATTCATCTTGCTGGCGTCGACTTGTGGCTGTGATCGTTCAATAACTCGATCCGCTAAATCTGCTAGTTGAGTGAGCGGAACGGAGCTCACTGTAGCGAGAATCGCTTGTGTGTTTTCCGGTAGCCGCTGTAGCCATAGTTCGCGAAGTAAAGTCTCGTCCATAGTTGATGAACCAAGGAGTTGCTGCATCTCTCGTAGCAGGGTTGAGGGCAGTTTGTCGCCCAGTTGCAGATCCCTGAAAAGCTGCTGCAGGCGAACTTTCTCAGAGGGCATAACACGCTTAATCGTGGCCTCCTTGAGAGCCTCATAGCGGTTATCGGTCTGAGAAATGATAACGTCACGAACCTGCGTTGATATCTCCTTGGGGAGATAGGACAGGAGCTTGCAGTACTTCGCATAGTCGGAAGTGATTCTGTGGTTATAAAACTCAGCCTCAAGAAGAGCGAACCACAAAACAGGATCCATGTCCCAAAAAGGTGGAACTGAGAGAGATACAACGCTAAGTAGAGACTCTACCTTATGGTCTACAGATTCCATGGCTTAAAAAATGATACAAAAATAGGCTACCGTATGCAAAAATAAAACCGGAAAATATGAAAAATAAATGGAACGAGCTCACCGGAGAAAAGTTCGAAATATCCGGCGTTGAGATTGATCCGGATTCGGGGTCACCAATTTAGAGGGTTGCCTATTCCGGGAGCCCAGAGAGCGATTCCAGAAGACAGATCGAGTTGCAGGGAAACTTTTATTGGTTCAGCAAAAGATTCCCTGTTAGCTAGCTATAAACGAACGACACCGTGGACGCTCTAGCTAGGGGAACGGATCAAGCACAGCACACAGAGCAGTCGCGCGTTGCAACCGAAGCGAGCGCCAAGCAAAAATGGCGATGAGCAAGTAAAGCATTCGAACTCAGCAAGCAGTTCAACAAACCACACCGGTTGCCTAAGTGTACAATTATAGAATTTTGGTTAGAATTTTACACAGGCAAACCGGGGAATCTCCAGACTGCTACAGATAGTCGGATGCCTTGCAAATGCCCTCACGTGTGTTTTGTGCCAAGTTAAATTCCACCTTTCCTTTATTGGATTATCAGTTAAGCATTTTCATTGTCTTCGGGAAATCCAACACGATTTCGTTCAAACTTTTTGTGAATATTGCCGAAACAAGATACAGCCAAGAAGAGTAAAGCCGACGTGTAGGCTTCATCATTCCGTTGCGAACATCCCCGTGTG